GCCAATTATCAAGTCTCTGCGTCACATGCACTAGCTGGATCAGTGAAAACCAATGCCCAACCTGGAGTAATCTGGGACATTATGCGAGGATGGGTTAGAAGCAGATCTTTTCGTGCTATTAACACATGTAGCGAAAAAGCGTAGTAAACTCGTGTTCCCATTACAGGTCAAGCGCGAACCTGTTGTTCAAAAGAATATTGCTGAAAACTCGCCCTCAAAAAAAATCTTATCAGTGGAACCGACGTAAGTTTTGTTCAACACATTTAGGTTGACAAAGTTTTGAAATGAGATTCTGATTGGGACACTTTCGTTTATAAAGTCTTGAAGTAGATTTTACTCATAATAAAGAGGCCGAGCCACCATCAAGAAAGATAAAACTCGTGAGATATCAAATGAACCCTGAAAAAAATTGGGGACCAAAACCACGCGCTGGTCAAAGGAAACGCAAAGTGTAAGCATTGAACTTGTCAAAGGCATTTTATCGAATGAATACGAGAATTTATTAAATCTACATTTATAGCAAAGATAAGGACAACGAACAGGTAGTGAAAAAAGTAGCGTTGGACAGGAATGAAGATGACGTGTCAGTAGCTACAGCGACAGCGTTGCATGATAATGATAATGAACTGATAGTAGATAAGAAAGGGCAGTCGGATGAAATTATAACATGAATGTCAACGTGTGATAACTTGTTAGATCCGTGCTGTAAGCAGCTGACTAGACGTATCGCAGGCTATATTTATTAACTGAACATCATATTTGGAACTATAGGTCTGAGCAACAGCTGCTGCCATTATTTACGTCAACGTATACATAATCGATAGATCTGCATGTAGTTACGATTTTCACGTCGACAGTGACAACTTGCATTTTTTTCCTAAATAACTTTGCGATAACAATTTATGTAACTCTGAGATTACGATGCTGTAAATGCCTGATGACCTGTTATTGCTTTTCCAAGAATTAAAGAATGAATATCATGTGTTCCTGTTGCAAGCGTAAGATGAAGATTAGATGCCTGCTCCACGGCCAACAATTCTCAGCATTTTTTCTGTTAATATTACCTTCATAGGTATTAGTGCTAACCAAATTCTGCTCGTGTCTGATTATATGATACTCGTCGCTGATACCATTTCCGCCTAAAACTTCTCGCATCGATCGTGCAATTTCAAGCGCTTTTCCACACGAATTACGTTTTATCATGGATATCAACTCGGGTGCTATTTTGCCCTCGTCCTTCAATCTACCGACACGAAGACATCCTTGCAGACCAAGTGCGATTTCAGTGTTTGCATCAGCGAACTTCTTCTGAATTAACTGAAACCTGGCCAACGGTACTCCAAATTGACGACGATCAAGTGCATATTGACGCGCTTGGGCAAGACAGAATTCCGCAGCGCCAAGAACTCCCCATGCAATTCCATATCTTGCATTGTTCAGGCAAGTGAATGGGCCCTGTTAAGATTAAATAATGCTTAGCATTCATCTCGATTTGAAATAAACAGATCCTGCATGGATACGCACCTTAAGGCCCTCGATATGAGGAAGTACATTTTCCTCGGGAACTTCAACACCATCCATCATTATCATTCCGGTGATAGATGCTCGAAGGGATAACTTACCCTCAATCGTGGGTGTAAATAGACCTTTCATCCCCTATAGCAAAAGCTTATTAGACGGGGCTATGTTATATGTGCTTATAAAAGACAAAGTTTCTGTACTTTTTCGAGTATAAATCCACGTATTTTGTTATCCTCTTTGCATTTTGCCCAGACAATCAAGATGTCGGCAATAGGAGAATTCGTGATCCACGTCTTTGTCCCGTTGAGAATGTAAGTATGGCCTATCTTGTGAGCGTAGGTTTCCATACTAGATGGATCTGAGCCATGGTTGGGTTCGGTTAATCCAAACGCGCCCACTATTTCACCTTTAGCTTTATAAGATGGGGAAAATACGAAATTGTAGAACGATCAACTAGAGGAATTCCAGAAAAACGCGACATGGACAATGATCAATAGATACCTAGTTTGGTTAAATATTTATCCTTCTGCTCTTGTGATCCAAACTCATAAATCGGATGCATAACCAACGAAGACTGAACGCTCATAACAGACCTATAGCCGCTGTCGATCCTATTGTTAATGATAGATTCACGTCAACGACTTGATGGAAAGATCTTTGAAAAACTGTGGGTTTCAATATAATACGTTAAAAGCTATGCATTTACAAGTACCTTTCAATTTCGCGTGCAATGAGACCGTATGCGACCGACGATACCCCAGCACATCCATATCCTTTTATTGTTGAACCGAGCAGACCCAATGCTCCCATTTCATGTAGCACGTCACGGTCATAGTCTATAGCAAACAAGTACTAATATATTTGTTATTCATATTTCTCTTCTTTATTAACAATTGTATGCGCGTCTCTGCATTACTTACGTTCATGACGGTAGGCTTTTAATATCCTCGGAAAGAGTTTACCCTGACTGTATGCATGAGCAGTTTCACTGTAGAAAACAAGGTATTAAATAATGACCAACTTGTCATGTAATAAAAATTAAATATTTTTACCGAACAGCTAATTCTTCGTCTGTCAGCTGCTTCTCCAACAATAATGGGTCTTCCCAATTATATGTTGCTGCAAAAAAGTGTCATTGACAGAACTTCAAATAGTATCGAGTTGTATATTATAAACTATACTCACCTGCTAAGGACGATTTCCACCGACATTCTCGGAAGTGTTTGGCTGGAAACAATCGTCTTAAAGTGTTAATACGAGTACGAATCATGGTGGGATAATCGAGAAAGAGGAACGGATTGTTAGCTGGCAAAACCCCCCCCCTTACAACTCGAAAAATTTAGAGTATTTCCAGGGTCACGTGAATAAACATTAGTTACGGACGAATTTCCTTTTTAGATTCAAATTTTTACTTTCTTTATTTTCTTTATTTTCTTATTTTTATTTCTCAAATCTTCTGTTGCTTTTGTATGTTTGATGCCTAGCAATGATGGATTATCTACAAATGTATAATAAGTTAACATGGATCCCCAAAATGGCGTCTTCATCATATAAAATATATCACAACTTACGCGTCTTCTCATCTAACAACCGATCAGCCAAATCCCTCACGACGCCACTTGTGATGTATTTTGTTGATATACCTCTTGGAATTACTGGCTGCGACAACAGTGATTTTAATTGCGTTTTAAGCGACTTGATACGTTGTTTCTTCTCTTTCGTTTCGGAACTATCCGCATTTTTTAGTCTACACGTAAAGACTTGTTAGAGCAAATAATCAATTGAGTCCGCTCAAGCAAATAATACATACAAATCCTCATCAATATCAATTTCAAGTTCTTTGGCCGCTCGTTTATACCAGTCATCATCATGACCAACCTAAAGAGTAGAATATTAAAAACAAAAGACCCTTGCATTTCATTCAAGTTGAATATGTATAGAAAATGCACCTTTTGCAGACGATGCTCCTCGGCGTCAATCTGTTTCGCTAGATTTATGCGTTGCTTGAGCTTCTTTACAATATCATGTTCCACAGGGAAATCGGGTAGCCCACCAGCTGATCAAGTTGAACTATGTCAGCATGTGTATTAAGATAAGATAAAGTGTCAAACTAGTCTAAAATATACTCAACCTTTCTTGAGCTTGTAGCATATCTTTTTATATAAGCTTTGTTCTTCAGGACTGCAGAGCATTAAACTTATTCCTGATTTACGTGCTCTCGCAGTTCTCCCACTTCTATGGACGTATATCTAAATGCACGTGATAGACCTTTGTTAAGTTAAAATAAAAAATTAAACACATTTTATCACAACTTACATCTCCCGAGCGAGGTAATTGGTAATGAATCACGTGTTCTACCATAGGAATATCCAGCCCTCTGGCTGCAACGTCGCTAGCTACCATCACTGCTTTGTCGTTAGCCTTAAATCTATATAACAAATGTCAATAAAGATAAGAAAAACAAACAGTTCGAATCATTTAATAAATTTATACCTTTGCACCTAATAAAGAACACGAAATTAATAATTTTATCCTTACCGGTCCAGATTTTTTAAGCGTTGTTTCTGTTGCATCTGAGCGTGTAGTCCAAGCACTTCAACACTCAAAAGTCTCATCACAGGAACCAACCGACGAATAGCATCAATACTATTAACAAATATTAATGTACGGCCTGGGTATCGAAGAACGAAATAGTACACATAGACGTCCTACAAAACAGGATAAATCAATAAATTATTCGTCTCTAAATTCTGTGCATATCGAAATCCACGCCATTGTACATGTTACTAAGCTTACCTTATCATTGACAGTACAATCAACCTTTGATTCCTCAAGAGACTCCGGAACTACATCATCGGAAGTCACATCCACAAATGCTGGTTGTTCATCTTGAAACTCTAACCTCCCCATCAGCTCTTCCATCGTACCATTCTTCCCATCTTTATCCATTCCTCCGTCCCCACTCTTACTCTTCCACCTTCTCTTCTTCAAGTCCTCTTTCAAACTCGCATCTAATGTAGCAGAAAACACAAATGTCTGTCTTGGAGGTAAATCAATGTTGGTGACTTTTGCTTCTGCTCCCCATTCATCTGTATGTACGCGCTTGCGAGAAAGAACCGTCAGTATTTGTGAAAGTTCGTTGAAATGATTCTTTTCCAACATGCGATCTGCTTCATCCAGAACGAGAAACCGAATCGATCGAAGACGGTTGAGAAAGGTGGAATCGGCAGAAATTATATCCCATAAGCGTCCCGGTGTGGCAACTATTATATTAGGTTTTTGTGATAGCAAGCGATTTTGCTTCTGAACTGACATGCCCCCTACTATTGTCATTATCTTAAAGGAAAGAGGGGGTAACGTTACTGAAAGATATTAAACTGTAGACAATAAACTACGCGGGGCGTACCTTCAGACGCGCATGCTTGCCAATATCCTTGAGATGATCTTTAACTTGAATTGTCAATTCTCTCGTAGGCGTCAGAATCAAGCCCGCCAACTCACATTCCCGTTCCTTTTCATTCATCGCTAGTAAATGCTGTAAGATGGGAATGCCGAAAGCTAAAGTCTTCCCAGACCCTGTTTCGGCTGTGCCTATGACATCGCGTCCGGATAACCCAAAAGGCAGTGCTTTCTCTTGAATGGGAGTTGGCTTGGTAAAGGTTAAAGACTCTAAAGCTTCCAATACCGCAGGGAAGAGGTTAAAAGCCGACCAAGGAGAATCTGTATTAAAAAATAAGATAGAGGAGGTATCCAATAGAGTTACAACAGGAAGCGCAGAAAATGATAATCGCCAATTTGATGCGTTGCGTTTAGTTACCTTTCAAGGGAATGTTTTGTTCTTTTACAATTTGCGTCTGCCCCTTTTTTTGTTTTTTTTTGAGGTGTTTTCTGCTCACTTTCTGATATCTTCATTTTTTCGTCCGTGTCAGAATCACCGACGGCCGCCCGCTCGTCATCGTCATCGACGTCTTCGGATCCATTTTCGTTCACAAGCCCGTCCTTTTGATTATCCAGATTTTTTGGGGGGGCCTCATCGCTAGTCGTTGCGTCATCCTGCTCTCCTGCGTCCTCCAATTTCGCAACCAACTCCTCATTAAACTCATCAAGATCATAGTATTTCTGTGTTTCTTCGATCGATAAGGGTTCCTCGGGCTTTGCAGAGCCTCTTTTATTAGAATTTTGTTTCCAGCCCTTCACTTTCTGATACGAAAAAAATTATTTATTTATTTTATGTTTGTGATTGCGATAATTGCCCGACGAACTTACTTTGAATTTTACAATTTTTCCCACTTTATCATCTCCTTTATATTCGACATCAACCCCATCGATTTCTTCAAGACATAAAAATCCACCAAGGTCATCACCGAGAAATACCGAATCAGGACAAACAACCTCAGACCAATCCATGTTGTCAATCTCAACGAATTCTTGTTCATCTGTTGATGAGTTTGGACGACTGTGCTTATCGGGCTTTGGATTTGAGTCCTTTCCATGCTTGCGTTTTTTCTGTGAAGATGAAGGATTGGCCGGAGTTAATTCTGTTTTTGTCTTTTTACTAGGTCGAGCTGTTTGAATAGGCTTTGATCCTGGATTTGCCGTCAACGGCTTCTTTCTACGTTTTCCCATTATATTAATTAATATACACTGCGATAAATTTTCTGAGTGACCAGAATTTTATGTTTGTGGAACTTGGCGCAGTCACGAAATTAAACAAACTTCTAATATATTAATATTAATATAATGTTAATAGTGATTGTCGGATAAAGCCTTTGATACTCAAAACCACAATCAAGTAATATCTAATGTGCGATTTATCTCCGTAATGGGTCATACTTTCGCTAGTAAAATAACAAGAATAAACAATAAGAACAAACTTTAATAAACCAATATAGGATGGTATTGCTGATATTCTTGGTGTTCTTCTTTTAATTGCTCTAAATCTATTTCTCGACTGCTAATTTTTTCTTGCACTCACTCTAAATTTGCAAAGTTTTCTAAGTCTTTACCTTAGGCTTGCAACTATAGTTTTTGTTTTTAAATATGTTGGGCAGTTGTTGAGACAATTGTTCACGATCAGAACTTTCAGCCACCGGAAGTAAAACTGTGATGAATGAGTTCTCGACGAGTCGGTAAGCATCTTCTGGGTCTCAAAGTTCATCGAGCAAATTAATTGACATGTCAATTATTTGCTAGTTTTTGCGAGCCTTTCAGTTATAAATCCATTACGCAAATAATTACCGCTGTCGTGACTAATAGATAATTTTTACAGGGAACAAGGACCGTCCCATGTAAATATGTATTCTTTATTTAAAGGAAAGTGCTTACACCATATCAATTACACCATATCAATTACTTGATTCCTCACATATTAATATGACGTTGCATGAGTCACCCGGATATGACAACTTAGATAAAAGCGATCACCTATTTTTGGTTATGGAGAATATTGTTTAAGGACACAAAGTGATTTGCTTTGCAATAAAAATTCTTGTCAAAAAGTCAAGACCTTGTAGACTTTTGACAGATTCGTAATTTCGTGTGTCGATTATCGATCGTAGGGATGACTCGAATTTTTACATACGAATTTTTCCCAATATGGAAATAGATTGATCTCATCTATATTAATTGTAATATTAACAGCAAAAGACGTTAATATCGAATACATGGACCGTTCTACGCAAATACTGAAAGTACGCGACTTGATATCAACCATCTCCACAAACCCAAAGTCTCCCAATCAATCCAAGTCTGACAATGCGAACGCACCTATTGATCAGCTATGGTCTTCAGTTTCATCTAAATCTAGCATCGTTTCTTCTACTGCCATCTCGGGAATTATACAATTGGTTCGATCAGGCGCAATAGAGTGGATAAATGGACTAAACGAACTTGCATATGCGATACAAACTGCGAGCCCAGAAATTCTTGAATGTTTACTCGTTGGTATAACGGACCTTTTGCTCCACCATGTACACACTACGAAAGGCGAATATAAAACAATATTTAAGATCAAGGATTCGAACGACGGCATGGTTCACCCGTACATATCAATTGTTAGGTCCAAGCCGGAGTCATGGATAATGGTCGTTGCTCAATGCGACAAGATATTTGAGTTTGATGAAGAGCAAACTGATGTAAGAACATTAGTAAACACGTTGGAAATAATGAAACCCTTCTTGGATTTTGCCCTCATGTGTGGAGACGCATATTGGAGTATGGCCCTGTCTCAACTATTGGTTCGATTAATGTATAAAAATTTGGATTCCAAAAAATATGGAATGCTAAGAGAGAAGATCTTTGATTACTTATTAACAGTCTCAGAAAGGCTACCAATAATAGACAAAACCTCCTTTGAAAAATCATACATTTTGAATCAATCTATGGTTCAATTGCTTGTTGGAAATTTTTTCCCAAAGGAGACTTTTTTGAGGGATTTTTCACCAAGATTGACAGTTCACATACTATCTCTTGCATGCAGTGCGCATAATTTGAGAATCTCTGTGACCTTTTTACTAAGAGTATTATCCCAGTTATGCTCTTTCAGTAAAACAGTCGAAGCGTTGCCTGAATTTACAATAACATGGCCAGCACTTTCTTATCTGTTATTGGACTGTGACACAGTGGAACAGCAAAATTTGATTTTAAAAATTATGACAAATGTGTTGGAGCATCAAGTCAAGAAAGACAATAAAAACGTTATCTCGAGTTTAATTGCTCAATTTGCTATTTTGCCATTATTTCAGATATTATGCGAAATAACAATAGAACACGTTCAAAAAGAAATTCTGGATTTGCTTCGAATAATCGAAACTTTGCGAAACGACGCGATCAAAAGCGAATTTATTGAAAATGCTTTGTCAGACGAGGCGAGTATACAAACGTAACCATTCACACGCTTAACCGATTCACACATGCCAATCGAAATTCTAAACTCGCTTTGTTGATTTCTAGATATCCTCTTACGTCGGTTCAATGAGCATCACCGGAGCCATAGCTGAACTCTTTTCAGAGACAATTCAACTATTGAGATCTTTCTTGGAAGCCTCATCATCAGACGATATCGCAGCATCTAATATGTATTTTAATACCATGTTTTTAATACCTTATTTATTACATCCACGTATAGAATTACGTGTTAGAGCTTTAGATTCTTTGATATCCGAGACTGTAAATAGTTCAAACACAAAAATGAATAACAAACTACCAATTCTTTATGTAATACTTTATACCCTTCGCGACAAGCGACAACCTCCTTTAGTTCGCCTCCACATCTTGTACAATACGCTTCCGTCCTTGGTCATTCCGTCAGACGTGGCCATATCGTTCAAAATTTTGAAATTTGCCAATTCGTTAGTACAAACGGAGGATTCATCGAAATACACAAGACTTAACGCGGTTGGAATGAGAATGTTATACTATCTGTGGGAACGACGAAGAAGATCCTGGCAGTCATTAAAACTTGCAATGCGCGAATGGGTAAAGAGACGAAAATTCCATACCGGATTAATTGATCCGAAGAGTGAGGAAGGTGAGATGGAAATTGCAACCTTGTCATGTATAAGGTGAGTAGGCGCAAGATAAGTCATACCACAGTTTTTAGATGTAGTTAATGTTGAAAGACCTGTCTGCATTCGATTTTATAGGGACATCTGTAGAACTAGCGCAGAGGCTCACGTTGATGATTTACTGCCATTTATATCGAGCCTTATGCAGACGGTCCGTTTGCATCCTGTAAGCATATGTTTGATACTTGAGACTTTGAACGCGTGCATTGAGAGAGATGTAGTGGATCCTCGAACTGGTAACTTTACTTGTGATATTATTTATGCTGTGTTTGTCTCCTATTAGCCAACATATCTTCTAACGATATCCTAAAGTATGGACAGTCATGGTCTCACATATCGCAAATGTTGTCATGTCTACTGACTCCAAACCGAAAGATATCATTGTGCGATTATGCGAATTTTACAAATTAATTGCTATGAAGATGGACGGTATAATTATTTCATCAATATTCATGACATTAATAGGACTGGACTGGATACTAAAGTATTACATTTTCTAGATACGGATTCCTATAATGTATTTATGCAAGACTTTCTCGTTGATCACGTTCGTCCATTGATCTTCCCTTATCAGTCGGACGGAAAAGATGGAAATTCAAATCCGGACGCCTTATTTAAACTCCAGACGGATGAATTTATTCTCGATCACGCCCTCAAAGCACTTTCATATTTTTCTGCAATGGACATATTGTCTGTTTTACCAGAATTACCAACAACGATAATGTCACAGATTCTAAAGTGTTCATCTACAATCAACGGATGGAGGGACATTCTTTGTCAGTTGATACCCCACGAAGTGTTCGATCTGCAGCGTACCTTATTTGGCGGTCCTAACACAAGAAGAGCCGCGGGTAGGGACCGACATGGAGAACTGGAGAAACAAAAGTCTGCACTATCTGATATTTTGTTCGGAATTACATCCGTCTGGGAAAGCGGATCTGTTAATCCCGGACTCCGACTCGGTTGCGCGATAGCATCGCTAATATCGTTCCGTCCTTCCCAGGAAGCGTCATCGGCGACGGATTTAAAGTCATCTCGTTTTTATCGTGTTATGATGAATGCTATCCAGGATGTTGCTTTTACAGATTTTTGGTTGATTAGGGCCAATGCTGTCACGTATTGGCGAATTTTTTTTGAAAAGGGTCTATTAGAGATAGATCGTATGACTAAAGAAGGAAATAATGCATTAGTGCAGGAGATATATGATGAACTACTGGTTAGATTAAAAGAGGCCAAGCAACCCGCTACTTACGTGAACCTTATATTTGCAATTACAGGTAACCAAGGAGAATGTTTTTGATAATTTATAATTCCTCATTACTAATTCTTGATCGTATTTATATAGGTTTATGTCTGGCCTTAAAATCTCTCGCGATTACTGCGACCAGAGCTTACGTCCACAACGTCGCTTCACTGCTCCTTGATCGCTTCATGGCGGACACTTCGCGTCAACGAGATTGGGACTTTATCTCTAGTGACGACGTGCAATATGGAACCATGCTCTCTCTCGGATACCTTGCTACCATAATGTCACCGAACGAAAAGCTCGTTCTTGATATTATCAACAGTCTAGTTGGACATTTAACTACTCGAAATACCAAAGATAATCTCGAATGGTCATTCTTTGGTTGCGGATATGCTCTAAGTATTATCCTATCGCATTTCCAGGTTCCTTCAAATATCGAATTAGAAGCGGCTTGTAAAGAGACACTAATGTTCCTTAAAGAATACGCGTTCAGTGACGATGCTTCTTTTCGCGCTTCTGTGGGTCTTCTACTGGGTTTGACAAACTTTGATACCCAGGAAGGTACCATTAAAGACATTTACGAGAAAGCGTTAAATGTCCTAGAAGAATTTGTAAAGAAAAAGGATTCAGTCAATCCGGGAAGGGTAGTGGGTTCTGCGTGGTTCCTTTCACTTTCAAATCAGACCGCTATCGATGAAGATTGTCTAAATTTATTAGAAAACGCTATGAATGTTAGAACAACAGAGGTAAAGATCTATTGTTGGTTCGTTCCGTCTCACGGTTTTTTACTTTTATTAACTTCTAAATCTGTACCAGAAAAAATGGAAATCCCACAACTTTCACTTTATCCAGTCCTACCTTTACGCCTTGCAATCCATGCTTCACGTAAAACAACTATCAAAATATGTATCAGTCTTCAATGCCTACGTGCGCGAGAACATAGACGTAATCTCATCATTATCGTCCTCTTCAATGAATCGACAGACTGCTATTCTAAAACTTGGAGCTTTAACAGCTGTAAACTACATACCCGTGAAGCAGCACTATTCACGAAAATCTTACTTTTTGTCTACAGCTCCAATAAGCTTACTGTCGCCACTCATCGAGACGTTACGGAAGGCAACGGGAACAACGGATGAATCCGCAATAATAACTGATATTAAGAGTGGAAGCTTAGCAGCCATTTTGTTAGGACACCTAATGCTGGATTTGGAGAAAACGGAGGGAAGCAACCAAGAACAAGAATTTGTTGTGACGGGTGATGAACCGACGGATTATTCGCGACTACCACGCACAAGCTATCTCCGATGCTGTTTCGACACTCTCGTTGAACTATCTCAACCTGCTACTACTACTACTTCTTTACATTCGACTTTTCAAAATCAACCCGCTTCGCCCTCGTTATTACTTTCAGCATTATCTGCAACCAAATGTGTCCTTCCACCAGTGAACTGGTATCCTCTTCTTATGCGTCTGTCTTCTCGCTTTCCGTCAAGCCGGAAGGAAATTTTTGAAATGACGTTAAGCCACTGTGGCCGATCAACATCGTTAATAGAGTATCTAATACAAAGTCTAAAGCAACTATGCGATCTTGCTGGTTCTGATCACGAAATTGGAGAAATGCTACTGCGTCGTGGGTTGGTGAAGATGTTGGAATTATGTGAACCTAATAGGGCTAATGATAAGATGGAGCAGAGCGCACAGAGGCGAGGACTGCAGGTGAGGAAGACAGTTGTGCCTGATGCAGTAGCAGTTCGGGTTGTCTATGAAATAAGTATGTCGTTATTTGCAAATAGTGAAGCGAGCAAAAACGAGGTATGTTTGTTGCTGAACGAGTCATGTATGAGTGATTGTCGATTATTTCAGTCTGTGTATAACAAATGTGTATATTGCTGTAGAATCTTTGGTTGGCTTTTTATGAAAGCATGGAAGTTTATTTGGCAAATACAGCCAATACACCATCAGCGATATCTCTACGCCAAGATCTTACCCCAATTCTTGAAAAAACTTATGATTTTCTGCCAGAACCAACATCGCCAGTGCAATACAAAGTTGTCCGTATTGCTGCGAAATACTCTGAATTGATACGCGACAAAACTCTATTGCCTCCTCCACAACCACATCTCAAGTTGAAATACACTCTTTCCGTCTGTGCACTCTCAGAAAATGGGTATATCGATACCACTCAAAACCTCACGCGTTTGATTCAAGACTGTTTGAAAGACTATCTCGCGCAATTTACAGACAGTCAGTCTCCCGCCCTGCGCGCATTTGCGTGGGTCGTTATCTCTGTTAACAAATCGATCAGATCATCTTCGAGCGCTAGAAACATGAGCAAAACGCGTTTAGAATGGCTTGTCCGTATTCTAAATATATTTTTAATTCAAGAGGAAGACAATCTCGGTACGGACATTAGCGTTCGTGCTCTGTTTGGATGCTTATTAATGAGTTGGATTACCGACCGTGAACCAAGTGAAGAAGAGGTATTACATGCATTAAGAAGTGCCGAAAATGTTAGAAAAGCAACTTTTGTCGTATCACGGGAAATTATGTCAACAGAAGACGATGAAATTTTGCAGCAGGTAAAGTGGCGGTATATTGAGTTGAACCAAGCTTATTGTTATGTACTTAACAAAATATGTTTATTTCGTAGACCTTGCAACGGCTCCTCAAATTTTTAGATTTTGCCAGAGTGCGGAATAATAGCGAGAAAAATCTCCTGGTGTTTTACTCTATACTTTCTCACTTGAGAAATCGACTTTCAGAAGATCAGTATTCAATTGTTGTTGACTGTAGTATTGAAACGTAAAATTACTGTATATAGAATAAAGAACTATTATTTCATTTAAACAGCTGCGCGCTATGAAAATCTGTAAATGAATTATTTATCATCAATTAAGAATCTGTTTCTTGTTTTCGCTTTGGTCAGTTTATTCTGTTTGCCTCCATTTTCCATCCCGCATTTGCGACTTTTATCGTGTTGACTCTGATCCTCGGAATTCGACAATTTTTCGGAACCTGCCTTTTCTTTCTTCCAATATCCAAACACACTATCATGTTTAATTTGTCCAAATAGATCTTTTCTATTAGCTATTTTGCCAACTGGAATTGCATTAGGGTTATACATCCCGGGATTACTAATCGACTCGCGCACGGCGGACAACAATGACTCCCACGGAGCACCATAAGCATCGAGTTTTCCGAAAAATAGATAATCGTGTCCTTGTGTTCAAAACACATTTGTTGTGAGTATTGTGCAGCTTCTTTAGACAATTCAGCATGCCATGCTTACTTAATCGACCATGTTCCGGTAATACGATTCGACATGCATGAATTATTCTCCTCCTAATTCGCGCTCTCACAACTGCGAGTTTGCTAACTTTCTTTTTTGAACATGTAGCTTGTATTCTAAACGTTTTTATCGGATCATTTGTTTTCTTGGCTTTTGTATAGAGATCAGGTATGACATTAATTAGACTGGCTGCTACAATACAAAATTCTAGCAAAATGATAATGCAAAGCCTTACTATAGAAATTTTGATTATGATCCCATTGCCTTACAAAGAGAGTGAAGTAATCGTTTGTAACCCTTTTTCTGGTGTTTCTTGACATCCAAAGCAACGTGTCTGTATCGACGGTATGAGTCTAAAAGAATAATACTTTTAGACAAAGACAGTTATTAAGCAAGGCCCTCCGAGGATTTACCTCACATTTAGGAAGGACGAAGCTCTTCTCTTGGCTCTTGGAAGCTTAACAAGAATATTTAATTCCTATGAGCATAATTTAAATTGGTAAATATTGCGAGATTGTTATAATATACCTTCAGTTGATGTATCAGGTCTTATCGCACTGGAAGAGCATCTTTTTAAAGTCATTAAGGGACATTTCAGATACCCAGCAGAAAGTTTAAGTAAAGAACGTCTTATAATGAAGTGCATTTGGCAGAAATTTGTTGATGAATCGAAAACGCGCATATGAGAATTAATTTAGGTAGTAGGCTTGTCGGTATATCTGATCCTCATTTCATTTACACTTTAGTCAGACTATAACGTACTGAATGAATAATAGATGATTAACTCTACAGTACGAAACGACAATACTTGGAGAGACAGTCGACCACGAAAGGAAATGGTTTAGAAATTAACGACAATTTAAATTGTGTTACTCTCATAGAATTCTTCTGTCACTGGTTCGTCCTGAAGTATTAGTGTCTCTGACATCTGCTCAATTAATACTACGATCAAGGCTAATAGCTTAATGTTGAGTTTATTTTCCCCCTTTCTTGACATTGACGCAATGTAATTACGGACCAAAGCGGCAATCTGTTTACTTTGGTAGAATCTAAATCAATTCTATAACGGTGGACGATCTTTTGTAATACTAAGTATTTGCCAAGAAAAAGCCAAACCATATTTGACAGCACATTAATTGATCACTGTAGTAGTTACTATTATGATATATGAATGCCAAGAAATAAATTACGGGCATAGTAGAAACTGGTCGCCATCTCAAATGATCTAGACCCTCAAAAGTGACAATCCATTTCAGAATCAGTAATCGTAAATTTAATTTTGGGTATGAAGGACTTATTAAACCAATTCTTCGCATATCCGATTAGTGTAAGGCTAGATACATGCTTACAAGTTGCAAAGTGTTTGAAATGAGGTGTTTATTCACCGTCATTCGAGACAAAGGCCAGAAATTCTTATTGCGCAATGATGATGGCGCTTCGCTTTGTGTATATCGACACGACAATGATTTATCCAGAAAAAGCCACCAAGGGACAAATTCGGCAATGTCCACTTCAATTGAACACAGGAATATGCTCAAATTGGAAAATATTGTAGTCTCATGCTTTCACGAATGACAATCCTATTTGGTCAATGATCTGATGAATACTCCATAATGAATAGTAAATCGTGACTCTGTTGTTCACTTATTTTGTTAGCAATAAGAATGCAATTGTGAAGGGCGAGGCAAAGGTGTGTATTTTCTCTTTTCGTAGTTAAAGCGTCAAACGGGATGTGCGTTTTAACAAAAATACAGTAAGTATTGAATCTTTACAAAATTTGTCACACAATTCTAAATAGAAAAACGTTCGTTACAGAATGCTGACTAAAAGAAGTGAATAAAGTAAAACTGGCCGAATTTAAACGCATTATCTACAGTCATGAACCATACGAACTATTATTATTAGAATCGGTTATGGTAACTTATGATTCATCGTGTATTATTTACTTTCCATCCCGAACGTGTGCATGTCAATTCTGGTCGTTCAACCGATATCAACATAGAAATGTGTGCTATTTTTGGTACAAGTATAATAATGAAACACCACCAACACCAATAACGGCTTCACTACGGAAAGAAGCAAGGGGTTAAGTTATAATTTTAGATTTACAATAAAAAACAGTTAGTGCAACACAGTCACAGGGACTCCAACTGATCATCATCCTAATAAGGAAGAAAAAACCACCCCTCATTTGGTAGGAAAAATAATAAACAAAGCATCATTATTATTATATACACGAGAATGATCGCGTGACCTCTGCCAAGAATAAGTTTTATATAACGAAGCATAACGGTTCGCTCAATCGAACAATTAAAAGCAACTTCACAAGAACTTTCAGAAAACGACATTAAAGCAAAACATGGATACCCCGGTTAGGCAAAATCCTGACTCTGTCGAGACGAATGGCAGTCACAACAATACTACAAGTCAGAACCATGTTTCCGAAATTGCTGATGCAACTATGATCAGGTAAGTGTACAAGCTGGCAAAGACATAGTCAATACGTCAAGAACAGTCGACACTGTAATGCGACTCATCAAAAACTTATCAGTTTAGTAAATGGAAGTGAGTCGCCCGAAGACACGGAAAGGATTCACTGGGAAAGCGGACGACGACTATGGAGAACCGTCGAAAAAACGAATGCAAATACGATAACAGTTGTTGGACATGAATGCGTAAAGTCGGTCGTTCCTCTCGATCTACTTCGATACCTGTACCTTCCCCGACATCCTCATGACAGATATTTTGACACGGAAACAAGAACGCTGTCATACATTCGATCACGTTCCTTTTTACCTGTCAAGTCCCTTCCGCCCGGACAGCGAAAAAGGATTCTCGTCACGGGTGGTGCTGGCTTTGTGGGTTCGCACTTGGTCGATCGTTTGATGTTAATGGGTCAAGAAGTGATTGTCATTGACAATTACTTTACCGGGCGCAAGAGTAATATTGCTCATTGGATAGGCCATCCGAACTTTGAGCTGATCAGACATGACGTTGTTGATCCGTTTTTAATCGAAGTAGATCAGATATATCATTTGGCTTGTCCCGCCTCTCCGCCTCATTACCAGCACAACCCTATTAAAACGGTTAAGACTAGCGTTATGGGAACTATCAATATGCTTGGATTAGCAAAAAGGGTTAAGGCTCGTTTTCTCCTAGCATCTACATCAGGTATGTATCGAAATATCCAATCACAATCGTCGCTATTAAATGAGAAATGTCTATATGTACCGCTCCGTATTAATTCTCGCGTTTGGATTACAGAAATTTACGGGGATCCGGAAGTGCATCCGCAGACAGAGACGTACTGGGGCAATGTAAATCCCATCGGACCACGGGCGTGTTATGATGAAGGCAAGCGGGTGGCCGAGACCTTGACCTATGCGTATAGGCACCAAGATCACGTTAATGTTAGAGTAGCCCGCATATTTAATACATATGGTCCTCGGATGAATGAGAACGACGGCCGGGTAGTTAGTAATTTTATCATGCAAGCTTTGAGAGGAGAAGAACTAACAATATATGGAGATGGGTCGCAAACGCGATCGTTTCAATACATTCACGATCTTGTGGATGCTTTAATACTACTCATGAATAATGATTGCGATGAGCCGGTAAATTTGGGTAATCCGGATGAATATACCATTCGAAGTCTTGCAGAGTTGGTTAGAGATGAAGTGAACCCAGATTGTAAGATTACAACCCTGAAAGCTACCATTGATGATCCAAAAAGGCGCAAACCTGACATATCGAGAGCCGAGGACAAGTTGGGGTGGAAACCCACATGGCCGGTCAGACAGGGTATCCAAGAAACTGTACAGTATTTTCGGCGACAAATGGAAGCTGGACTCATTTGAATAAGCGTTTTTGCCGATTTTTTTTACTTCTTCACATTTTATAATCGCTGAATCGATTTCGTGGTATTATCTTGTGGAGAATACCTAATTGCTTGATCCAACAAATTTTCTTGTATAGATTCTGAGCGAAGGATGCTTTCTTTATAGTAATAGATAAGATTTTATATTCGCTATAGACATAATTTTCTGGTTTAATGAGCAAATTCTTATTATTGCATTAATATATATACTAAACTAATAAAGAACAATTTCCCAACCACATCACATGACAATATCCTATTTGTCAGCTGATTAAACATGTCATTATAAATGTTACACAGAATGTTGAATTTCGCTATTTCGCTCTCACATTAATATCACATCACTCTCACATTCATAGCTTGTTAGTATCGTAGTTACCTTTTATACAACTCCATTATTTTGCAAAGTCTTGAAAATGTACAAACTCGGGAGACCAATTCAGAGGCCCGGAGGACCTAGGAGAAAGAGAAAATTAGAAAGTGGAACCATTGTTGAATATGAGGTGATTGTTTGACATTGACAATTTAATGAATGGAACAACCGTAGAATAGTCCCGTCCGTAAGTAGCTTCATGACCGATAGGCAAATAGTTTGAGTGTGAAGAAAGTGTTAATTATAGCTGTTTGATCTAATGAAAACGTGTGCTCTCGAATGCGATGAACAGATAAAGGGTAGTGAAGATGGGGGTTGTTATGATGTAATTTGTCCGAGTGATCGCATTTATATAATTATAATTATACTTGTTGTCAATCCACAATCCATTTTCTCACGCTTATATTAAAAACCGTCTGTTACTTTTCTCGCCATTATTTCAATCCGCAAGGATATCGATAAACAGAGACTATCTCGAAATAGTATCGGGTCACGCAATGGTGTCAAGATTATCGGGAACAACGAAGAAACTAAATCGTCTATACATAAATATTGTGAGCATAATCACTGATGTATGAGTTGATATCGGTAATCTATATTTACTAACATTTGCACCTCGAATCGATATTAGACTTGCCATATAACTCAAGACTATCATACAACTATTACATGCCTTCAACACCGAATCAAGCAATACTCATAGAATCCGATGATGATAATAAAGCGAGAATACAAAACCCACGTCATGACAATACCGCCGAGATAAATTGTCATGTGGAAAAGGAAGGAGAGGATGAGGATGATGATCCATGGGGAGAAGCTGAAGAAGAGCAGGAAGAAAGGGAAGAAGATGAACTAAAAAGAAGTAAAGCCGTGAATGGAACTGATTCTGCAAACGCTTTATTTAACGTTTCTGATTTGGATGATACGGAAAGCGAACTTCCGGATGAGGACGATGTTGGATGGGGGTGTTGAACCAAGGTTACATTGACGGGTTGTAACGCAATCTGTCTGTTAAAAAGCTATTCCTCCTCCTTTCTCCCTCCTACAACAATGACAAACTCAACATAGTCAATTGTTAATAACATGAACATTAGCCGTATGCCCTGAAACATTCAATTAGAACAAAGAAACAATATTAGGAACTATTGTAAGATATCTTCAGCAAATCTAAAAAAAAATAATCCTGTATTGTCTCATGTGCAATAAAGCATGAACTTTTTTTGCAAAAATTTAATGGTAACGATGTTCGGGATTTTTCGACCGCTAAGGCTGTTAATTATGATTTGACGGTCAAATACATCTTCTCAAACAGTTTATATCGTATAATTTAGAACGGGATGTGCGATCAAAGTCTGCGGTAACGATGCATGTCCGTTTCAAAGGTGTTTAGAGATTTTTTCAGACGTGCTCTTGATTTTTTGACTGATGATTCCATAAAAATACTCGCATCTTGGTACTAAACAAAAATGTAGTAATTTAAGCCAGGCGAACAGCAGCGCCCAATGTTGCTTGTATTCATTGTGTCGTATGTCTTCGCGCTTTTGACATATTGTTTAAATGTAGGAAAGAAATGCTAGCGCGACCGGGTGACGTCACTAAATCAGCCAATTACATACACTGTATTGTATTACCTTTAAAAGTCCGAGTCCCAAAATTTACTAATGTTGCACTTACTGATTTCGTTTCACTTTTAATTATCATCAACAATCATGGACGTCGTAAAGGCAGTTCAAAATTATATATACAAGATGGTTAATGAAGTTTCGGGGATGAAAGTCTTGCTTCTTGATAATGAGACAGTGAGTAACTATTTTGATTTATACGATCGACCGTATAACAACCATTAGCTTCTCTATTAATCAATCGCTTTTCACTGCATCTTTTAGACCCCAATAATATCCAACGTGATGACACAATCAGCCCTGTTAACACATGAAACATATTTAGTAGACAGAATTGACAATCGCAAAAGAGATAAAATGCGCCATTTACGGTGCATCTGCTTCCTTCGACCAACCAGTGAGACTATTCAGTTGTTAGTAGAAGAATTAAGAGAGCCCTGCTACGGAGATTATTATCTGTGTAAGTAATTATCAGAATCGTTGATGTTTACGCCTGTCAAATAGGAGCATTATTGGTGATTCTCATCCTACGCATAGATTTCAGTAATACTCTAAAAAAGTCACAGATCGAGAG